AAAGAGAAGCTCCCACAAGGGGGGTCCTGGCCCAACCCCAGTGGCCTGTGAAGGCTCTGGGGAGCATTTTCTACATGGTAACCGGCCACGGAAAATAAGGCAGATCAAAAGTGATGGGGTGTAACGGGGCACATGGTGGCCTCCTACGGTATGTTCACACCCTGGACCTAAGAACCTGGAAATGGCTCTCCTCTGAAGAGGGATTTTTGCTGAGGAACCTAAGGCTCGAGTGACAACAGTCAGATTATCAGGTGACTATTTGCAGTGACACATCATTTTAACATTTTTGTTAAAATACTGAATACACGGGGAAAAGACAGGGCAGGGCCATGTAAAGAGGGAGGCAGAGCCTGGAGTGATCAGCACTCCTAAGAGACTCCTGGGCTCCTGGAAGTTGGAGGAGGACAAGAAGGGGTCTCCTCTCGGGTCAGGACTTGCTGGGGCAGTGACCCCGAGATACTTCTGACTCCAGACTTTTGGCCTTCAGAGCTATGTGAGGATAAATTTCTGTTGTTTCAAGCTCTGTGGTTGTTGGTTAAGGCAGCCAGAGTCCTAACACGGGCAGTACATTTAATTTCAGGAAACGACACAAGGAGATACACAGTATATGGTTTCGGTCCAATGAGAATTTTATGCATGTACTTCTTCATACATAATTTTAAAGGGACAGATGACCTCAGGGGAGAGCTTCAATATCTGTAGTGTAAGCTCAGAACAGCCCAACTGCAAGGCAGCGTGGCGGAACCCGGCAGAATTTAAAGTGCACCTGACCTGCCTCCTGTGAGTTCTGTTTGAAACTCCCTCCTGAAGAAGGAAGCCCCCACCTCTGAACAGGATGTTCACATCAGCCAGATCCGTGAAGGCACAAATCCGTGCCCACAAAACTGGGCAAATCTCAAGTAGGGTAATAGGACTTTAAACATAGAGTGTTTCTAATCCAGTAATCCAGGGACTGTTGTGCAGCACAAAAATTCAGATATGCATGTAATAACACTTAATTTAAAAAAAGAGGCCATGATTTTGAAAGAGAGTAAGGATGCTTATATAGGAGGATTTGGAGAATTAGAGTGACTGAATCCTGTCCTGACTGCTTGAGAGCAGGAGCAGGGAGCAGCTAAGCCACGGAGAGTTTACCTGCATCTCTGGGAAGAGCAGTCCCGCGTGCTCATCACATGCACACATGCTCAGGTACCCATCTCCTCCTGGGCTGTTGGAGTGGAAGAATGCAGAGAGGGAAGGAACGGCTTCCTCCTCCTTTTATAGGTGCCAGGATTGAGGGGGTTTTGTAATAATAATAACAACGTTTTTCTTCCTTGCTTTTTTTCTTTTCTTTTCTTTTCTTTTCTTTTCTTTTCTTTTCTTTTCCTGCCTCCCTTCCTTCCTTTTTCAAGACAGGGTCTTACTCTGTAGCCTGGGCTAACCTTGAACTCATGCCAATCCTCCTGCCTTGGCTTCCTGAGACTGTAGGCATAAAACCATGCCTGACTTGTTTTGCCTCTAAAATACAAATAAAGGGGAACCTCAGTATAAGTTAGATCTAAAAATTTGTCCTTTTCAAAAATTTTTTCAAATGGTAATTTATATATATTGATGTTTTATCCACACGTATGTCTGTATACCACATGTGACCCTGGAGGCCAGAAGAGGACACCGGAGCAGCCAATTCTCCAGCCCATATGTGTGTGTGTGTATGTGTGTGTGTATAACTTTTTAAGTAACACTAGTCTGGAGAGATGGCTCAGTGGCTAAGGGCACAGAGGATCCTGGTTCAGTTTCCAGCACCCACATGGCGGTTCCCAACCATCTGTAACTTCAGTTCCAGGGGCTCACAGGTACCAGACATGGACATAGTACATATACATATATGCAGGCCACATACACACATAAAATGAGCAAATAAACAATAACTCTTAGAAAAACCAAGTAACACCAGCCAACTGAAGGAGAAGCGGAACTGTAATGGTGCAGCCACACATAATCTCCACGGACCATCACTGTGAACATCTAAACTAGAGACTGGGTGTAATAGCCTTGGCTGTCCTGGCCTCACTCTGTAGATCAGGCTGGCCTTGAACTCACAGAGATTCGCCTGCCTCTGCCTTTTGAGGGCTGGGATTAAAGGCGTGTGCCTCTACAACCCAGCTCTTCCTTCCAGCCTTTTGTCAAATGTTTTCCCTCACTTACTAGTTGAAGTCATTCTGCTAAATCCATTCTAAAGGTTTCGGTTTGTTTTTTTTAACTAAAGGGAAAAGAGTCTGTTTGATTAAAAAAAAAAAAAAAAAAAAAAAAAAAAACAATGATGCCAAAAACAGATACTAGAAGAGCCTGTTGCTATGGGAATTATTGAAAATAAATTTCTGCTCCAACTACACCCTGCTAATGTATTGACCAGGAAGGAGGAGAAGCATTTGGAGTCGCTTAGAAGAGCAGCCAAGAAAGTCTCCAGGCGAGAAGGGAAACACATGAGTCTAGTGAAGTCTAGGTGGCCGGCAGCACTGCCCTGCCAGTCAACCGTGGTCTCTTAGCAACTGTGTGGGCGGGACGAGGGCACCTGGGAACCAGGGACCGGGTAGGCTGCTCCTCCCTTCCTAGACAGTTCGGCAGCCAAAGGCCAGCCTGTCTCCCTCAGTTTGAGAGCCACTGCTGCAGGATGGTGCAAGGCCAGGAAAAAAGCACGCCTTCCCTCCAGCAGAGAAGTCCCAGCACTCCTGGGGAGCCAGGGCGATCCCCAGGGTCCCTTCCACACAGGAGCTGGCCCTTCTGGATGGCAGTGGAGACATTTGTGCAATTTCTGGCATTGGGACTCTAATATCTGAAGAAACTGTAGCGTGTGCCAGCTCAACTCTGAGCAGTCCACAGCCTTTAAAAGGCAAGACTAGGGGCTGCAGAGATGGCTTGGTAGTTAAGAGCACTTGCTGTTCTTCCAGAGGACCTGCATTTCATCCCCAGCACCCATGTCAAGCGGTTCACAGCTATGTATAACCCCAGATCCAAGATCTGATGCCAGCAAGCACCCTCACACACGTGACATACACACAGACAGACACACGTACATTGGCATAAATAAAAATAAAATCTAAAAATATATATAGAAAATAAAAGCATAATGGTGTACCCAGCTTGTTTGTTTGTTTGTAAAAGCAAGACCAGGGAGAACACAATGCAGGGGCAACCTCGAAGGGAGAGAGCAGAGAACGGACAAGCATGTTGTATGGAAACTGGTCTCTTCCTGCCCCGGGAAGGGTCAGCTACAGCATCCTATCTGGTTTCAAGCATGCATTAGCACAAAACAGAGCCTTTTTCTCTGCCTGTAAGATGGGTGGTTGTGTTCCCATTTCAAGAGGTTCCAGCAGCGGCTATGTAAGGTAAGTTCTGGCATAAGATAAGCTCAGTATAGAGCCCAGCACGGCGGGTTCTCAGGCACAGTGACTGCCACCCCCACCGCCATCTTGGGTCCCTGTCTGGGCTGCAGCTTGTTCTAAGCACACCTGTTGGCCCCATGAGCCTCTCTCCTTAAAGCCTGGTCTCTACTGTCATGTAAACAGAGTTTCTGGGGTTGTACAGTGTCAGGCCTTTTCTACAGCCCTCTGGGGTCATAGTTGACCTTGATGCTAAAAAAAACACAAATCAGAAGAGAGCAAAGTTGCAGCCCTCCGTGTCATCAGAGCACTGGGAAGTAATTCACGCTGTTAGGCTTCCACGAGGCTGAGGAAACCCTGTGTTAGACTAGCCCAGTGGCTCTCAACCTCCCTAACACTGCGACCCTTTAATGCAGCTCCTCAGGTTGTGGTAACCTCTCCTCCATTAAAAAGCTGTTTTCATTGTTACTTCATCACTGTTGTTTTGCTACTGTTGGGAATCATAATGCAAACATCGACATCTTCTGATCTTTCAACCCCCAATGGGGCCATGACCCACAGATTGAGAACCACCGGATCAGTCAGTGCTGGGTTCACTGAATAGTCACTATACTACCTGTGGACATGGTGGTGCAAGCCTGGAGTCCCGGCTCTCGAGGGACAGAGGCAGGTGGGTCTCTGAGAGTTCGAGGTCAGCCTCATCTACACAGTAAGTTCCAGGACAGCCAGGGCTACACAGAGAACCTCTCTCAATAAAATACAGAAAAGAAAAAGAAATAGCATTTACTTTACCCCAAAGACTGAAAAGCTATACCTGGCCACTTGGCTGGTTTTTGTTGTTATTGTTTCCTTTAAGCTTAGGTAAAGGACACACATTTTTATCTTGAAAAATAATTTGGCGTATAGAGCAACAGATAATCAAACGTTTCGGGAGCCAGCTCTATGAAAGGGCAACTGTCAACACTGGTCATAGCTTCCTTTGTTTCTCAAGATAAAAAGTCTCAGGATTTTGTTCACGATCTTTCTGCCTCGGCCTCCCAAATATTTACAGGCAGGCGCTGCCATGTCCAGAAACATGCATTATATTTACATCAAGTTCTTAAAATACAGAAAGAAAAGAGAAAAAAGAGCAGGCAGACAGCATCGCAGTCTGTTTCCCTCTCTGTCACCACCACCTCTTTCCTGCTCCGTGCCCCAGTCATTGCCATGGGTTTGCTCTCTGCCACCTGCCTGTGCTTTTGTTTGCCAGAGTTGTGTTAGCTACTTTTTTTTATATAGAAAGAAATGAAAGAGAATCATGGAAAATATATGAAGTGTGTGTGTGTACGTTTGTGTGGGGTGGGGATGGGGTGTCTGTGTGTGTAGGGGGAAGAGTTGTCTATGCGTGCGTGCGTGCATGCGTGTGTGTGTGTGTGTGTGTGTGTGTGTGTGTGTGTGTGTGTTTGGGGTGGGGATAGTGGGGGGGTGGGGGGATGGTGTGTGTGTGTGTGTGTGTAGGGGCTTCTGGGCCCAGCAAGCTCAAGTTGGTGCTCAGCTGCTCAGGACCAGGCCGCCCTAACTGTAGGTACAGCCTGCGGGAGGAGAGGGCATCTATAAGTCACACCTATCCTTGTGGACAAAGCATTGCACCCCAGGGCTTACCTGGGTCCAGGTGGGTGAAAGAGCCCACCACGAAGTCCAGGGTGGAGACGGCCAGCAGGAGCAGCAGCAGCAGCTGGAGGCGGATGATCCACTTCACCCCGGCCAGGTTGATGGCCAGCAGGGCCAGCAGCACGGCCACAGAAACCACTCGCACCGCCCAGATGCTCCCGAGGCCCAGCACGCCCGACAGGGACTCGGCGAAGCCGGTGACATACATGGCACCTGCAACACACTGCCGGGCAGTTCCCGGTACAAGGGGCCGGCCACGGAGAGGCAGCGGACCTGCCTGCTCGCACCCACACCCATACCCCCTCACACCCCCACACACGTGCCAGCACCGTGGCTCTGAGGTAGCACCAGGCCAAACCTGCTCTCCCACAGGAAACCTGCCTCGGCCCCCATTGCACACTTGCCTCTTGAATGAGAGAGGAATGGGCTGCAGGCTGAGGGCTGCCAGTAGTCACGGAGGCCCTAGGCCACCTCTGCCTGACTATTCAAGAACCTACAAACATTTGGACGCCATTACGTTTAATGTGTGTGTTTGTGAGTGTGTGTGTGTGTGTGTGTGTGTGAGTATATGATGAGTGTGAGAGTGTGTTTGTGTAGATTTGTGTGTGTATATGTGTGTATGAGTGTGTGTGTGTGTATGCATGTGCACCTCTTTCTTGAAACAGTGTCTCTCAGTAGCCTAGAACTGGCCAAGTAGCCTGGGCTGCTGGACCAGCAGCCCTACGGGTCCGCTGGCTCTGGGGCTCAAATGTGTGACCCCAGGCTTGCAAAGCAAACACTTTACTGAGTAAACCGTCTTCCCAGGCCTGTTAAGTCTGGTTGTTTCCATTTGGGTTCTTTAAGAAAGGGCCTAACACTGTAGCCAAGACTGACCTGGATCTCACTATACATCCCAAATTAGCTTCCAACTCACAGTAATCCTCCTGCCTCAGCCTTCTGATAGCTGGAATTATAGACATAAGTTATCTAGCTGCCAAGCCTGGTGGCACGCCCCTCTAATCCCAGTACCCAGGGGGCTCCTTGAGAGCTCAGGCCAGTCTCTACATAGGCCAACCAGGGAATGAATACACCCGCACCTGTCTCAGGTAAATAAATAAGTAATGTGAAATTTAGAGCTGGAATAAAAGAGTGGGTGCCACACCTTTTCAGTGTGATGAGTAACAAAGGCACCCACAGTGGCTACCCAGGTGGAGTCAGAGCCTGGGTCACTGTTGATTAAATTGGCATGAAATTCCCAGGACTGAGTAAGTTATATGCTGATTTACAGACTGACTTGTGCCAATCTGTAGTAGACAAAGAAATAATTCCTGTCCAGTGTCAAGACAGCCCAAAGGATCAGGGTCCACAGTCCAATAAGACGGTGGCTAGTTTGATGTTTAACCCAGCAAAATTGCCCTTCCATTTATTCATTAAAGTGCCTAACTGTGAATGTGTAGATTTAATCACTACATTTAATCACCTCTGGTCCCTACACTTCACCTCTGCACACCTCACCCCTCCTCCACACCTTACCCCTCCTCCACACTGTAGGCATAAGGTTACTGTGTAATTCAAATACTGATTTCTGTAACCCCTCCCCCCACATCTGGTTGCAATTCTTGTTCTGAGAATCTCCTGTCTTAATGTTGTGTAAACACTGTTCCTCAATTGTCCCCTGATATGCCAATAAAGCAGCTTATAGCCAATTAATGAGCAAGAGAGAGAATAGGGCTGGACTTCCTGCCAGACAGGAGAGTGGGAGTTAGAAGAGGAAGTAGGGATTCAGCCTGGAGATTTGAGCGGTGGGAGAGATGGAAGTGAGATGAAGAAAGGAGCTGGAACAGGAAAGCTACAAAGTGCAAGTATCTCTGAGATGTACGCTGGGAGGAAGCCAAATTAGCTTAAAGAGCCAAGACTAGATAAATAACCACTCAGTTCTTGTGCTGTGAAGCTTGTTAAAACATATAATAGCGTCTCAATTATTTGTATGATAGCCAGGTTAAGAGAGAAAAGAAGAACCGAACACAATTTTATGAAAATAACTGGAGCACCAACCGCACCCCTCCTCCGCACCTCATTCTTCTTCCAGTGCGCACTCCTCAGTCCTCCTCAATACAATCCTAAACGTTGTATTGGCTGCACTCGTCGATATACTATGTGCCTGGTACACAGTTACCTCATATTTGTCCAGAGCCCTGATTTTACACTTTTTGGAAATATTTGAAAGGCAGGTCCAAAAAATAAAATAGCCAAGAGTGACGTGAGCGGGGTGTGGTGGCGCACACTGTAATGCCAGACCTTGGGAGGCGGAGGCAGGTGGATCTCTGTGAGTTAAAGGCCAGCTTGGTCTACACAGCCACACAGTGAGACCCTATCTTCAAAAAAAAAAAAAAAAAAAAAAGTGTTATGTGGGGCAGCCAGCAAGATGTCTCATTAGGTGAAGGCTCTTGCCACCAAGCCTGACACCTGCGTTTGAGTTACAGGACGCACAGGTTGAAGGAGAGAACCAACTCCTGCAAGCTGTGCTTTGACTTCCACATGTACATGCATACACATACCTGCACACTCAGACAGACATGCACTCCACATGCACACCCACACACACACACACACACGCACAATGAACAAATGTAATAACATTGTGATGGCATGGGCTTCCCTTCGGGCAATCATCGACATCGGTCACCGTCCCTCAGCTTGGCTGTGGCACTAAACCCCAGGCTCTGCTGGTCTCCCTCGTCAGTGCAGCCATTATCCCAGGAACGAATTCAGTTCAAGCTTAGTCGGTGCTGGACAATTATCCGGGTACAGATTCTACTCTCATTTTGTGGTTATAAATTTGTCTCCTGCACTGAGAACACAGACACCCACACAATGTCAACTTCAGGCTTGCACATACACACACACACACACACACACAGACACACAGACACACGTGGACACATAACCACACAGGTACACACACCACAAATACAAAAAACTTAATGTCTGTTTCTCCTCTTCGATGGCCCCTGCTTGTGAAGCATTCGGTGAATCCTGACTCAGTGAATACCATGTGACACACTGGCTTCCCACGTCACGTGCCCCTGAACGGGAGAAGCCCCGTTGACTTGCCCAGCTCTGACAACAGGGTGCGTTGTCGCCACACCCTCTTGCTGCCTCCTCAGGAAGGAGGACGTCTGAGTCCTGCGAACGCAGACAAGCATAAGGACGGTCTGCCAGCCAGGGTTCTGCAGGACAGAACAGCTTGTGCAACTACAAACGGGGATGTCTTGGGCTGGCTTGCCCAGTCAGAAACTAGCTGGTCCCGAGCTGGAAAACCAGGTGAACGAATGGCTGCAAAGCCCAAGACAGCACCAGTCCTGAGCCAAGGGTCTGGGAGCTCCCTGGAGGTCACTAGAGCGGGTCTGCACTGAAAGACTGCCAAAGCTGGAGCCTGGTGTTCATGGCGGTGGGGCTGGCATTCACACACCCGCTGAGGAAGACTTTACCATCCGCTCTGACTTCCTCTTGGTCCGATCCCCAGCTGGCTGGACTTTGGTGTCCACAGACAGCTCTTTGCCCCTCTGATGTTCACCCTCATAGATGAGAAGCCGGCTTTCCTTCCTCTGTACCCAACGAAGCTGACAGTCAGGGTTGACTCTCAAGTGAGGGATGAGTGCCGTGTCCAGCAGCCCCGCACTAAGAAGGCAGAGGCAGGCGGGTTGTGAATTCAAGACTAGCTTGTATTACGTGGCAGCATTCGGATAGACTAGAGCATGCAGTGAGATCCTGAGCAGGGGGGCAGGGAGAGCCACCACAGGTGGACACGCCCATCCCACAGAACTGGAATGCCTGCATACATTTGGGGAGCATTGACAAAAGTACCTTGTACCAAATTACGAAGTGAGCCCATTGCAGCCCATCTCATCTGTGCATGAACCCCTACAATGCAGAAAGTGTCTTCCCTTCAGGCTCAGGACTCAAGGCCTTACTTGAATGGGCTTGGGGCAGCTGACACAGGGCGGGTCTGAAAGCCAGGCCTTCCCAGAGCAAGGTGGTTCTTCCTCGGAAAGCATCACTGAGTTGCAGTAAACATTCCCAGGGCTCGTGATAGCTGAAAAAGTGTTTCCACGTCCTCCTGACATTCATAGTCAGGAACTTTTCTTTTTCTTTTTACCATTCTCAGCACAGAAACATCTGAAACTCCCTGCCACAGAAGGTGGGGGGGTGCTCACCGTTTTAAAGAGAGGAAGAGGTAGATCCCAAGGACAGAACGCCTCTATTCCATGGCGTTTGTTTTGGTTGAATCAGGTGTTCAGGAGTGGAAGATGGGCACCCCACCACACTCTCTCCTTCAGCCCAGATCCTGATTTAGGCTGCAGTAGGCAGCGGCAGGCATCGCGGATGAGCCCACTCCCACAGTGACAGCTCCAGGCTCTGGCAGGCCTGGGCAAGCTTCCCGACCCTCCACTGCTGGCACAGTGAATCCAGCATGAAGCACATTAGTCATGATCAATGTTCTTACACAGTCAACACAGGACGAAGCCAGACATCTCCACATCCACGCAGGGAGCTCAAAGAGGCCCCTCACAGGGACACAGGTGAGTGGAACAGGGAAGGAGGAGGTTTCTGGCTGCAGTCCCTTCCTCCAGCAATGGGTCTGGTCCCATAGAGCAGGGCAGCTAGCCAGGCTTCAGAAGTGAGGCGGGGAGATTCTGCTGTGTAGAGGACGTGGCAAGGTTTTCTTTTTAAGTTTTTGTTATCTCATATGGGCCTTTTATTAATTTATTAACTTTTATTTTACGTGAATGGGTGCTTTGCTCGCCTGTATGTCTGTGCATCACTTGGGTGCTTGGTACTCATGAGGGCCAAAAGAGGGAGTCGGATTCCCCCATCATCATGTGAGTGCTGGAAATCAAACCCAGGGAAAGCAGTCAGTAATCTTTCTTGACTGCTGAGCCATCTTTCCAGCCCACATGGCAAGATTTTTAAATGATTTTAAATATGATTAAAACAGATTGTATGAAATTCTCAAAGAGCTAATAATAATAGCTTTTAAATATATAGGGCCTGGAGATGGGTCAGTGGTTAAGAGCACATATCACACATTACAAAGGACTTCAACAACTTGCTGACTCCAGCGCCAGGAATCCGACACCCTCTACTGGCCTCCCAGGGCACTACACCCTTATGCACACCTCCCCAACACCGCCACATGCATGACTAAAAGTAATACCTGGGCAGTGGTGGTGCACGCCTTTAATCCCAGCACTCAGGAGGCAGAGGAAGGCAGATCTCTGTGAGTTCCAGGCCAGCCTGGTCTACAGAGTGAGTTCCAGGATAGTAAGGGCTACACAGAGAAGAGAAACCTTGTCTTAAAGAACATGCGCACCTACATAGAAAAAATAGCCAGGCATGATGGTCTACACCTTCAATCCTAGAACACAGGAGGTGGAGACAGAAAAACCTCTGTCAGTTCAAGACCAGCATGGTCTACACAGTGAGTTCCGGGCCAGCCAAGGTTACATAGTAGACCCAGACTCCAAAAGAAGTTGTTTATTTGATATGTGACATGAAATAGCAAAGAAGACTACTGAAGGTGGGAGGGCAGGAAGGGAGCAGAGCGATGGGGGAGGGGAAGAACTGATAAAATCAAATTTCAGTTGAAGATGTCACAATGAAAATAATATGGCTCTATAGTTAGGAGCACGGGCTGCTCTTCCAGAGGACCCAGGTTCAATTCCCAGCACCGACATGACAGCTCACACCTGTCTGTAACTCCAGTTCCGGGGCTCCTGACACCCGCACACCAGACACCCCACATCCAGACAAAAACACCAATGCGTGTAAAGTAAAAATAAATTATATATTTTAAAAGGAAGAAAACCCGTTAATACTTTGCCACTTAAGATTAAATAAAAATTGTGGATAAATCTTTATCTTGATTGGTCAAGAAGAAAGGCGAATTCAGATGATTAAAGTAAGGAATGAGAGAAGCGTTGCCACCACCAGACTTAGAGAAATACAGGAGAGTACAGGGGACAGAACTGTGTCCGTACTCCAGATAGCCTGGGTAAAGCAGCTAAACCTGGCGACACAGCCTGCCAGCATTACGTAAAGCAGAAAATTAGGACACTCTCCTGCCTAATCATCAGAAAAGTTCGACAACTGCAACCAAGAAAGCCAGGACCAGAGGGTTGCACTGCCATGTTCCATTTGGCAGTTAAAGAGTTAGGACCAACGCTTTACACACATTTCCAAAGGCTACAAGAGAAAGGAAGCCCCACCCCCACCGAGTGAGTCCTTAAAGCCAGTGCCAACCCCACACCAAAACCAGACAAAGGCAGAAGCTGTGGGCCAGCATCCCTGGGAAGTGTGTGCCGGCCCCCTCAGCAAAGTCCGGAAGATAGAACGTGTAAGATGACATAAGGACTGGACAGTAAGGCCCAGACGAGCTCAGACAATCAGGGACCCGCCAGCACTGACCACAGGGACGGCTGGCAAAGGCCATGGCTGCCTGTGCTGGGCAAACTTGTGAAGACCCCTCTGTCAGCCCAGCTAAAAACAGTGAGGTGACCCAGAATCCTCTTCTCACTTGGGTTGTTCAGTCTTTGTCCTCATCTGTCTACCCAGGGAATGTAGAAAATGAGGCTCTCCACACGGCCAGCCTGCAGCCACTGTGGCTGCAGGACAGAGCACGAAGGCATCTCCCTACAGCCCCTAGGGTGGCAAAAGCCGGCTGGTGATGACCGCTAGCCATCCCAAAATGGCTGCCACAGGGGCAATGCATGTTTTGAACTCTTTTGGATTTTGTAATATTTGCATTGATTAAGCATTTTGGTTAAATAAAAATCTAGCTTCGAAAAGGCTCCAAAATCTGAAAGTTGGTGGGGTTTGTTTTGTTTGTTTGCCATTTTCTATTGTACGAGGGTTTTGGTTGGGTTGGGTTGGGTTGGGTTGGGTTGGGTTGGGTTGGGTTGGTAGGGTTGGATTTGGTTTGGTTTGATTGGGTTGAGTTAATATGGTTAGATTTAATTTAGTTTGGTTGGGTTGGTTGGGTTCGATTTGGTTTAGTTTGGTAGAGGTTTTTCTGTTGTTTGCTTTTTGTTTGGTGTGGTTTTCTTTAGAGACAGTCTTCCTACTTTGCCAGGCTGACCTGGTGGTTACAGTCCTCCTATTTTAGCTCCCCCCACCCCCAGATGCTGGGATTACAGACATGGGCCACCACCTCCAGCTTCAAAATCTGAAAAATTTGAGCCCTGCTCAATACAATGCTCAAAAACTTTGGGATTTTTGGAGCACTATGGATTTTGGGTTTTCAGTTATGGATGTTCAACATGTATCATACTTTCAAATCTTTCTCCAGTAAAAGCAACTGCATTGCTGGGAATTGGTGGCACGGACCTTTAATCCCAGCATTCAGGAGACAGAGGCAGGCAGATTTCTGAGTTCGAAGCCAGCCTGGTCTACAACGTGAGTTCCAGGACAGTCAGAGCTACACAGAGAAAGCCTGTCTCAAATAAACAAAAAAAGTAAAAAACAAGACAAAAAAGCAACTGCCTTTTCCGAGCAAGTAGTGAGGTGCCTTCATGCACCTGTTCACACGCACACACTCACCCACACTCACTAGTTATGCACTCAACATTCTATGCACTTCATAAACACACTCATGCATACACATTCACACACGCACACTCCTACGCACATTCACCGCACACCCATGCCCTCAGCTTTGTGCTGTTAGAGAATGTGGTGCGTGTATGCCGATGCCCTGCCTCTGCTGCCTAAAATGAAAAGTAACATGATTTTCTTTTCTGTTTTTTAACCACCCACCACTCTTTGTTTTTCCATAAAAACCTCTTTGGTCCAAGCATCACTTAACCAAAAGCTACGTCTTAATGTCCGAGTGCTGTCTTGCCTGTGCCAAATCCCATCCCTGTGTTCCAGTTAAATAGCTCTAGATGAACTTGGAGTTTCTCCCTGCCTGCTGGTTTTCTTCCTGGCTCAGTCCACCCCAAAGGGTGGCATTCTCCTCTGTCTAAGCATCCACTCGAGGGCCTGTGGCCTGCTTAAGGCCACCCAAGCCACCAGACCTGACAGAGCTTCACCTCCATAGGAAAGGCCCCTGGCAAAGGCACAATGCCCACCAGCAGAGCAAACTTCAGAGGACTCCCTGCCACACCCACCCCTCCAAGGAACACAGCAGACGCCACCTGGGCCCTGGTCACATCGGGTGGGAGGAGACGGGAGCTCTGGGGTTGAGGATTGGGGTGTGAGCTGCCCCTCAGAGCCTGGTGCGGTCCTCTGTGTCCCCACCCTTGCTTTGACCCCAGGTCAAACGAGGAAGGGAAGAGAGGTGACGGCAAACGATGAGGTAGAGGCAAGGGTTTGGCTCGTGCCGGAGTCTCACCTGTCCAAACACGTACAGCAGCCCAACAGTGCCTCCCGTCCGCCCGCCAAGGACTGAGGAGATCATGGAGTAGACGCCGCCACTGCCCATCCCGCCATGCTCCGCGAGGCCGATGCCGGACAGCACGGTGATGAGTGCCACGAGGATGACGAAGGACACCAGGAGCAAGCCCAGGAGCACGCCTGTGTTTCCCTGTGGCAGATGGGGGAGGGCTGTCAGCATTAGGAAGGACATCTCGCTAGAGCTGCTCCCTCCACCCTACAGAGAGACAATGAGAAAAGGAGCATAAAGGATCAGGAGAGCTGAGGCCCACAAGAAGTTCCAGGTAGGTGGAAAGTCCACCCTCCAGACTCTAACGGTGACACACCACGTATTACCCAGGCGAAGGCAACTCAAGAGACTCACCAGCTAGGCTGAGAGACAAGACGGCTCGGTTAAGAGAGCCTGTTAACTTGTTCTTGAAGACAAGCAGGGATTAATTCCCAGCTCACAACCATCTCTCACCCCAGTCCCAAAGCATGCAGGGGATTTGGTGTCCTCTGCTGACCCCTCAGGCACCAGGTATGTGTGTGGTGTTACATATATGTAGGCAAACGCTCCTACACGCGAAAGTAAAATGTGAAAAGAGAGATTCACCAGGAGCCTGCAAATCTATCAGGCAGGTCACGTTGACGTAGCTCTCCTCTTACCGTCCCTCTTACCTACACCAGTGCCCCTGCTTGGAAAGCCCTTTCTACCGGGCTAACTCCAAAGCAGCCCTGAAGACTCAGGATTCAGGATTTCTTCCTCTCGCAGCTGTCATTGGCACGCTTCCTCTGAGCTCTCCAGTGCTCAGGCGTAGCGCCTATTTGTCACAGTGCCTGCTAAGTCTCCTTTTACCAAGTCTCCTCCCAGGTGAGCCCCTATCACATTATTATTCCCCGTCACGCTCGCTCGTGTGGGCTTAGCACCTCCACATACTAAGTGCTCACTAAACGCTTTCTGATGAAATAAGTCCCCGTGCCTGGACACGTACGTACGTCGACGTGTGCGCACGTGTCGGCGTGAAAAGCAAAGGAAGGGGAGAGGGCACGGCACAAGGGGGCTCCTGGAGGTGTGCGGAGTGTTGGAGGGAGAAGAGTGAGGAGGAAGAGGGGCCCTAAAATGAGCTGGAGGGGCGCCCTGCACCTGAGGGTGCTCGGGCTGCATTGGTCTGGGGTGGAGCCGGATGGCAAGAAGACAGTGTTGTCCCCCTTCCCGGCCCCAGCATTCTGCCATCCTGTTCTTGCTACTCATCTCTGCGGGTTTTTATAGGCACTCGGGAGAACACTTGCATTGTAACGCTTCCGTTAACTGCAGCTCTCCCATTGGCCAATTCTGGTTTTTTCTTTCTTGCAGTCCCCCTGCTTCTGCTATAGCACTGCCGCACAGTAGGCCCAGAAGAAAGGTCCTCTATCCGCTGTCCCCTCTGAGGCCACTGGGGGAGGCAGTCTCAGAGACACGCTGGTCTCCTGACATTGGAGGGACCTGCAAGTGAGACCTGGCTACTCGGAAGTGCTCGGGCAGCAAGCATGGCCCTTCAAGGGCTTTCTCGCAGGTCTTTGGTTTATTTATTTAAAAGTATTACAAGTATCTTTGTTAACTATGTCAAGCTCCTTGAGGGAATAAACAACAGAAATGAAATGTAGGGCTGGAGAAGTAGCTCACTTGTCTAGCACGAGACCTGGGTTCAAGTCCAGCCTGCAAACTCAACAAAGAAAGACAACCATAAATCCACAGGGGCCACGGGGCTGCACCAGGGCGTCACAAACGGATGTGACAATGCAGCCGCAGTCACTACCAGCCACACCAAACTTTGACAAAAAACAGAGGCCTCTGCCCGTCTGACCTAGTGTGCAGGCCAGAGCAGGGGAGGGTCCCTGGGGGGGAGGTCTGTCTGCAGAGAGCTGGGCTCTGCATGCCAACTGTGTGCAGAGAGGAAGCATCCCCTCCACTGCCTTCTGCCACTTCACGGCACTGGGCCGCCTCCTCGTCTATAAAACAGAGATGGCATCTATCCCACAGCTGCCAGGAAATACTGAACGTTAGAGAATCAAGCACATGTACTGCGCTTTGAATACCACCCGTCACATGCGTGCTTCAGAAGCCTTACTTGCTGTGTCTTATTTTGCTATGAGTGTTACACTATTATCACTAACTATTTCTACCCAGCTCATAAATACTGCTCCCCCTGGATCTCCTCAAAGCCTAGACTGGTACAGAAGGACAGCTATGAGTTCCTTTCGGGGAGAGAATGCCAACAGCCATGTGGGGATATGTGCAAACCCAGCTGCTGCCAGGTGGCAGAGGGCGCTGCTAAACTGGGTGTGGGGGCAGTCCTAGGTGGTGGTGGTGAGACCAGGTGTGGAGAAGGGCCGACAGGAACTAACCACAGCGCCCCCATGGTTCCCTCGCTTCACCCATGGCACAGCCCCAGCACCCCCAGGATGCCGGTGTCCCCAAGAGGTGTGCCCTTGAGTGTGACATCTGAGTGTTCTAACTGCTGACTTTGCTAAGGTTACACTTTCAGTGAAGTTCTACAGAACCATTTTCTTCTGTTGTTCATACTTGAAAGCTGTCTGCCTGTGAATATAAACACCCCAGCCAAGAACAACCTTGGGTCCTCAGTGGGGAACCGTCCCTTTTACTGTTTATAAACTAAGACTCCAGGGTGTTTTAGGGTTAATATTTTCTATTTAAGAAATGCTTTGGGCATTTCTATTTCAACTTCATACAATTCCCTGGACACTCTGTCTCGTCTTTTTATGGCATTTCGTATTTATCTTTTCATGATCAAATAAATATGCAGGTGATAGCAATGGCAAAGCTGAAAGGCAGAGGTTATTTTAGAGTAAACAGACAGACAGGCTCAAAGATGGCCACTGACCCCTGCCTCTGGTGTCCCTGGCCTGTGTGGTCCCCTGCTGTGTAGACTGCACCTAGAGACTCACTTTATTTTTTTTTTTTTAAGTAGGTAAAAATTTGACATCAGTCCAAATGATCACATGAGTTGCGATTTACTTAACAGTTTTTGACGAAACATGCACATACTTTCTGCCTGGACTGTGTTTTCTAGTGTGCGGACCTGCTTCTAAGGCACCCCAGAAGTGGTAGAATAACATTCCTGAGACTGGGATGCTGAAGAGATGATAGCGGCCATTGCAGGCAGGGGCCTTCTCTTCTATCTGTAGACTTGGTGGAATTCTGCAGCCTCAGAGAGAGACAACCCCATGGGAGGGGGGTCGGGGGCAGCCTACGTGATGTGGCCAAGGCCTGCCACGTAGTGCTTGGGTGGTCCAGTAGAGCCTTCCCGCATGCTTGGAGGCCCTGACTGATAGCAGCTGTGGCCTCACAGGAGCACGTGGCCCTCAGAACCACAGACCTGCATGTGCCTCTGTAAGCTGCTAACGTTGCGGCGATTTGTTACGCAACAATAAACGGCAAATACAGCTTACACCTTCACTTTGGGGAGGGAACTAAGTTTTAGGTAGCCATTTCGTAAAAATCAAATAAGTAAAGAATCAACACACTTTCTTTCCTTTCTTTTCCAATTTCTTTCCTTCTATCATACCTTAACCATCCCTGCATGCAGCAGAGAACAGAGAGACAGGACTGATACTAGTAACTTCAGAAAAACAACAACAACAAAAAAGTCAAAGCCTGAGTCTTCCCAAGGAGGACATTCTGCATCTGGACCTCAACAGAAATGCCTTCTGGTGCCTCGCCTTCACTGAAGCCTTACCTGGCCGCACCTGACATTTGTGTCTCCCATAGCATTGGCTATTTCTCTGGAGAGCATTGGTGAACAATATCCCCCCATTCCCTCTTCACGGGTCCAGCCCAGTCCAGCCTGTCAAGCCTCTTGCACCTCCTCCTCCTTGTCCAAGCAGCTTTCCTGACAGTTTGCGCCACCGTAGGGCCCCTTTCCAGAGGGTCTCACTGCTCCTGAGATCTCTCTGGATGTGACACTGCGCAGCCAGAGGAGCAAAGGCTGGTGTTTTACAGTCCTGTCGGCAGCAGCTGTGTCTGTACACGCCAGGCATCCGCTGGTGTTTAATTCTTAGCTGGGTGGTCTTTTGCTCTGTCCAGCCTGTCTAGCCTGAGGTTCACTGCATGGGGAGGCACCGTGTGAGGGGCCTGGGAGCTTCGCTCAGGCCACACACCTTCGAGGAAAGCCCTAGGAAATGTTTGCCCACAGCGCAGAGGAAAGGGTCTTTGACTCCTGTGCCGAAGATGAATGAACCATCAGGATCTAGCACAAGAGGGTCTGTCGGGGCAACAAATCCCGAGAGGCAGGAGCTAGTACTCCTACCAACGGCCTTACGAACAAGGCCAGAGGCAGTGTGAGGGAGCAACCATGGACATGGGGACCTGATGCTTCAGAGAGACACAGAGTGACGTGACAAACACCAGAAAGTCTAGAAAGGGTTACACACTAGAGTGAAAATCACCATCTATACGATCCTTGCCCTGTCTCTACTCCCACAATGAGCCCTGACCCCGTATGGTCAGGTCCACCCTGAGGCTCTCACCAGGGAACCTCTGAGACTCGGGCTCCTGAAATTCACACTCTAAAAGCACTGCCCGCCCCGCCCCACCGTGCTCCCTGCTTTGTTTCAGGAGAACCTGTGCTTCAGGAACCCATTCGCTAAACTGCAGGATCCGACAAGCATTCTCCATGTCACAGGCCCTCCCAGGTCACCAGGTCATCACTCACCACCAGCCAGCCGGTCCTCAAGAAAAGGACAACACCAAAAATGTTGATCATGCAGGAAGTGAACACGCCATCCCAGGTCCCGAACAGCACTGGCTCCCACATGAACAGCTGGATCTTCCACCAGGGCCGGGGCTGGGCCAGGATGCCCTGCAGAGAGCACAGTGAGGCCAGGTGACGGGAGGAGACTGAAGAGGAACAGGAAAAGGGAGGAGATCCAACTTCAAAAAAACAAAACAAAACAAAACAGACAACTCCCACCTTGGGCCTCTGGGAAGATAGCTCAGCACATAAGAGCCTTTGCTATGCAAACATGAGAACCTGAGTTCAAATCCCCAGCACTCACATGAAAAGCTGTATGTGGCTGCATAGGTTGAAACCTCAGCATTGTGGGACAGAGACGGGGAGATGCCAGGAACTCATCGGCTAGCTAGCTAGCCTAGCCAGAACAGGTTTTCAGCTTCAGTGAAAGTCCCCGTCATGTCTGTATGTCTGTCTGTCTATCTATCTATCTATCTATCTATCTATCTATCTATCTATCTATCT